CTTTAATTTCCTCATCTGTAAAATAAGGTGGAGAAGGAAATGGCAAACCACTTCAGTATCTCTGCCAAGAAAACTCCAAATAGGGTCACAAAGGGTCAGAAATGACTGAAAAATGTCTGAACAACAACAAATATAATTGGCAGGCCCACCAAGAACCTGGGAAAGGATAACGTTTTCTATTTGAAGAAATAATCGCAAAATAAGTGTAAAACAGCAGGATAAATTATTATTATTTGCATATTTTTAGCATATTCATCATAAAAGGATAGGGTTGTTGAAATGATTAACTTACAATGAGAGAAGAAGACCTGTCACTGAAGCATATCTCCAACAATTAATTTTTAAAAATTTTTTTTTAAGTTTTCCATATCAAAGATCTAAATTAACTATGGATTTGCTAAAAATTTACCCAATCTTCAACATTCAACATTACTTCAACATTCACTTTGCCTTTCAATTCCAGTTATGCCAATAGTTTTGTCTGAGATGTAGTGAAAACAATATGATTGTCTCAGGACATAGTGACATTAAGAAATGTCCAAACCTGAAACAAATATTTCAGGCTGGGGAGTTTGGAGCTGGGCCCTCTCACCATTATATTTAATTGGGAAAGAAATGGGCTAGAAAATCCATCAGCAATCATTTATTAAGTACTTACTATGTATCTAATGTGTCAAACACTGTGCTAAGTGCTAGGAATACAAAGACAAAAAATAAAATAAAAACCACCCCAAAACCACCCCACCACCAGCAAAAAGGTTCCTGCCCTAAAAGACCTTATATTTTACTGGACTTCAACTTATATTACTCCCCATCTTTTCAGTCTTGTTTAGTAATAATATTAGCATTCTAGATTACTTTTTTTTTTAATTTTTTTACTGTAAATGTACCGGGTTTGTAGTATGACCTTGGGCAAGAGATTTAATATCTCTTGGGCTTAGTCAATCAACAGGTTTCTCCCACCCCTCAAGTGTCTTAATTCCAAATAGCTCACAGTGTAATAGAAGAGAGACAACATGCAAACAACCATATAGATATACATAGAGAGATATATATCTAGATAGATAGATAGATATAGATATCTAGATATATCTATAGGTATAGATATGTATCTGCATATACACACACACACACAATACCATCAATTTTCATTGTTTGAAAATTCCATATACTTGCTAAAATTTATCTGTAACCCCAAAATCAGTATTCGCTGCAAGTTCACAGTTACTGGCGGATAAGTGAAAGGCAGTGAAAAATTAGAATTGCCTGACAGGCACGTTTCCAACTACAGTTGAACAAGGCAACATTTAACCTTTTTGTTTCAGCTTTCATATATTAAACAAGTGTCCTTTTCAAGGTCCATTCAGTGCGTATTTCTCCCATTTTTATGCTTTTTTTTTTAGTGATTTCACTGTTTAGAAAGGTCCCCAAGCATAATGCTGAAGTCCTCTCTAGTGTTCTTAAGTACAAGAAGGTGGTGAGAGGCCTTACCCAGAAAATACATGTGTTACTAGCCTTTTCTTACGCATGAGTTCAATATTAGTGAATCAACAATATGGTGAGGGGCAGCTAGGTGGCGCAGTGGATAGAGCACTGGCCCTGAAGTCAGGAGGACCTGAGTTCAAATCTGCCCAGACCAAACACTTGACACTTACTAGCTGTGTGACCCTGGCAGGTCACTTAACCCCAACTGCCTTGCAAATAAATAAATAAATAGAATAAAGGATAACAATATGGTATATCCAGGAAAAGGAAGAGAACATTTGTCATTCTGTACTTTAGGCTTCTACAGAAAGTACTAAAAGTGAATGCTGTGACCAGAGGCTCCCAAAAACCTAACCCTGTATTTCCATATGAGCAATGTTTCATTATTCACTAATTACTTTTTGTGGTGACTTTATAGAACATAGCTACTATGAATGATGAGAACTGTGTCCAACTTCATGACTCCTTTTGGGAAAGGTACTGCAGTGGTTTGCCGTTCCGTTCTCTAGCTCATTTTATAGATGAGGAAACTGGGACAAACAGGGCGAAGTGATTTGCCCAGGATGACACAGCTAGTAAGCGTCTTAGGCCACAACTGAAATCAGGTCTTTCTGACTCCAGGCCCGGAGATATATGCACTATAGCATCACCTGGCTGCCCTAATTATTATTTTGTGGTGACTTTATATGACCTAACTTCTGAAAATGATGACAATCAACTGTATATGCAAGATAAACTGGATGTCTAAGCTGAGTAGATTGGACTACATGATTCCTTAGGTCAGGCATGGTGAACCTGCAGCCTCAAGGTCCCATGTGGCCCTCTAGCTCCTCAAGTGTGGCCCTTTAATTGAATTTAAACTTCACAGGACAAATCCAAGTTTGGATTAAGTCAAAGGATCACACTTGATGACATAGAGGACCACATATGGCCTCAAGGTGGTAGATTCCCCACCCATGCTTAGGTCATCTTAGATCTCTCAACTTTGTTATGCCCTCAGGTGACAACATGCGATAATGGATAAAGTGTTGAACTCTATGGAGAGAATGGATAACATCTAGAAGACCTGGGTGAAAATCCCACCATTGGCATTTACAAGCTGTGTGACCATGGGCAAGTCACTTCTTTTAATCTCATTTGCTTCATCTATAATGGTGGTGGATCATAGTATCATGGCTACTAGATTTAGATACGTAAGGGAAAATAAAAGCTATCTATCTATTCCAACCCCCTTACTTTATAGTCAATAGATTAATTGTTCCTAGGTCTGACCTCTGGCAACTAACAAAACAAACGCAATTATTCCCCATCACGATCACTGGCATCATCATCACTAATGTTTGTATAATACTTAATGATTTTTAAAGCACTTCACGTGGATTTCATTTGATGTTCCACGTGGCATTTTTTTCCCCGGAATATTGGGAGACAGGTATATGCCTTTCTATGTCTTCCCTTTGTTCACACTCAACACTCCCAGTTGCACTAATCAGTTATGATAAAGCATGAACTCAAAGTTATTTATTATACTGTTTGTCCTTCTCAATTGCCAACTTGGATATAACCTTAATAACAGCTTTAAATATCAGAATCAAGTAAGAAGATGAGAAAGATGTAGCTATTAAAGTTACCTCCTATTGATATGGAGAAATCTTTATAGCTGAATCTATAGTTAGCCCCCTCCTACTTTGGTAACCCTGTACATTACCCTCTGATAGGAAGCTCCTCAAATGAAAATCATCAACAATATTTTTGTCTTCCTAATTCTTTCAGAAAGTGTTAATATGGGCTAGCTTAGTCAGTATTTTAGAACATGTTTATTCATGGCAATACTGAGCAAAGGCTCCCATCCACTGCAGGAAAATGGTGTTGTGAAATTGCCACACCTCAACCCCAGATCAACTGACTTATTGTCATAATTTTTTAAAATGGATTTTTTAAAAAATGGATCAAATATAGACCATATACCAAGATAAGGTCAAAATGGACACATGATTTAGACATGAAGGGTGATATCATATGCAAATTAGGAGAGCATGAAAATTTTGCCTATCAGATCTATGGATAATGGAAGAATTTATGACCAAACTGTAGATAGAGAGAATCACAGGAAGTGAAATGGATAATTTTGATCACATCAAATTAAGAAGTTTCTGCACAAGCAAACCAATTTAGCCAAGATCAGAAAGAAAACAGGAATCTGGGGTGAAAAGTTTATAGCAAGTTTCTCTGATAAAGGCTTCCTTTATCAAATATATAGGAAACACCTACATTTATAAAAGTGCTACTCCCCAATTGATTAATGGTTAAATGATATAAGCATGCAGTTTTCAGAAGAAGAAATCAGAGCTATCTGTATCATATAAAAATGCTGTAAATCACCATTGATTAGAGGAAATGCAAATCAAAAACAAAAAAATCTGATGTGCCACCTTATGAATTGGTTAACATTTGGTAGAAAAGGAAAATGACAAATGCTGGATGAGATGTGGGAAACTTTTGACACTAACATACTATTGTTGGAGTTGTAAACTTGTTCAACCATTCCAGAAAACAACTTAGAACTACATTCAAAGGACTATAAAACTTTGCATGCCCTTTGACCAAACAATACCACTACTAGGTCTGTATCACAAAGAGAACAAAGAACAGAGAGGAGGACCTATTTGTACAAAAGTATTTAAATCAGCTTTCTTGTGGTGGCAAGAATTGGTAATTGAAGAGCTGCCCATCAACTGGGGAATGACTGAACAAACTGTGGTGTACAATTATGATGGAACACTACTGTGTTATAAGGAATGATGAGAGGGCAGTTTCAGAAAAAACCTGGAAAGACTTAAATGATCTGTTGCTAAATGAAGTGAGAAGAACCAGGAGAACATGGTACAGAGTAACAGCAACATCATATGATGATCAATTGTAAAAGACATAGATACTCTGAACAACACAGTGGTCCAAGACAATTCTAAAGGATTTATGTAGAAAAATGCTATTACCATTAGAGAGAGAACTGATATGATTTATGGAGATATATATATATATACATATATATATATATATACACATATATATATATACACACACACACACACACACATGTATGTGTGTGTGTGTGTATTATATGTATATGCAGATTTAAGCATAATTTTTTACTGAATTTACCTTATTTTTGTACATATGTTTTTATGCAACATGGATAATGCAGAAATATATTTTGATAACTTGATATGCATGATTGATATCATGCTGCCTTTTTGCCTTCTCCAGGGCTGGGAGCAGTGAATTTGGAACTATTTTTTTTTAAATGAGCATTAAAAGTTGATAAATAATACATTTTTAAAAATAGGTTGGACCCTAAGGGGCTGTCTTTTCCTCATAGGTTCCATAGCCATCATGGGAGTACAGCAAGCAGAATTGCATATGTAAATCAGCAACAGAAAGGATTAGGGAATGTTGCCAATAAGCAAGCAAAATTTTATACATATTATGAATCTGGCCTCAGAAAAAAAGCTTACCTTGTCAAGAGCTGCTTTCTCCAACTCATCTTTAGCAACTGCTAGTTTTTGCTCCAAATCTGTTAGCTGCTGTGCCTGTGGAATAAATAGATACATATATTTAATCACCTCTTCTACTAACTTACATGATTCTCCCCTTCAAATCAATCAGATAAAGACTTATTAAGAGCCTACTATGTATAATATCCTGTGCTAGGCTCTGTAGATGTGCAAATGAATGCTGCACTCTTTGTACTCAAGGACCTTATCAATGCACGTGGGATCTCAGATTTGTAACAGTGAAGAAGCCCAGAAACCGTATAGTCTAAATCCTTAATTTTACAGATGAGGAAACTAAGGCTCACAAAGGTTTGTCCAAGTTCACACAAGTCATAAATTTTGGAGGCAAATTTGAACCTAGGTCCCAGGACTCCGGGGTTTTCTACTACACCCAGTAGTCTCCTCTATGGAGTGTTGTAAGGTCCACAAAGCACTCTGTTAGAGGGAAATAAGATAGTTACACAGAAGTAACATCACTTGAAGTGTGTTTAAGAGGACGAGACGAATATGACATGCTAGGATACCAGATGAAGGAGAAATCATTCCTAGCTGTGGAATTCTTGAAGAAGTGGCATTTAGGTGAGGAAATAGAGGATGGGCAGGAGAAAAAATAAGCAGAAGGCAAAGTGAGTATGCTTAGGAAGCAGAAGGCAAAGTGAGTATGCTTAGGTGATAGGGGGCAGCATGGATAAAGGCAGAATGTTAGGTACATTACATATGGTAGTTTTGTGGTTGTTTTTGGGGGAAAGTCACTGCTAAAGTGTAATTAGACAATCACAGAAATTAAAATTGAAAGGGCCTTCAGCAAACAAGTGGCCAACTCATAGCCAATAAGCAATTCTTCTTAGTGGCCACTACATGGTGGAGTGGATGGATTGCTGGTCCAGGAGTCAGGAAGATCTGAGTTCAACTCCAGCCTCAGAGGCATACTAGCTGTGTGATCCTGGGCATGTCACTTAACCCTCTTTGCCTCAGTTTCCTCATCTGCAAAATGATCTGGAAAAGGAAATAGCAAATCATTGCCAAGAAGACACCAAATGGGAACATAAAGAGTTAGGACCAAAACAAATGAAGACAAAAAACAAAAAACAAAATGAGGATAATAATAGGATCTATATCCCCTAGGTTTGTCTTGAGGATTAAATGAGATGGTATTTGTCAAGCACTTGGTAAACCTTGCAACAATATATGAATGCTAGCTATTGGTATTATAATTTTTTGAGGTAATCAAGGTCAAGTGACTTGTCTAGGGTCACATAGCTAGTAAGTATCTGAGGCTGGATTTGAACCCAGGGCCAGTGCATTATCCACTGTGCCACCCACCTGTCCCTATTATTATCATTTTTATTAACTTTGCATATCTGACAAGTGATTATTCTATTTCTTCTTGAAGAGCTCCACTGAAGGGTGTCCCCTATCTCCTGAAATAGCCCATTTCACTTTCAGAAATTGTTTAAGTATTCATCTCTTTTTCCATTGATGTCAGTCCTAAATCACATAGACTCTAGTTCTGTCTTTTGGGCTACATACAAAAACAAAAACAAAAACAAAAAATGAAACAAAAACCACAAAACAAAACAAAAAACCCCCCCAAAAACAGAAAAAAACCCCACCCTTTGATTTATTGTAGAACAGCTAAATACTGGACCTGGAGTCAGGAAGATGTGAGTTCAGTGTCTTCTTGTAACACTCACTATTCATGTGACTCAGGTTCAGTGACTTAAACTCACTGTGCCTCAATCTATTCTCCTAGAAAATGACTGGTTTAGAGGTCAGCTAGGTGGTGCAGTGGATACAGCACCGGTCCTGAAGTCAGGAGGACCTGAGTTCAAATCCAGCCTCAGACCAATTGCTTGACACTTACTAGCTGTATGACCCTAGGCAAGTCACTTAATCCCAATTGCCTAAAATAAAATAAAATGAGTGGTTTGGACATCGAGGGTTTCCAAGACCCTCTTAATTTCTAAATCTATGAACCTGTGATCCCTCTTATATATGATGGGCTTTCAAACACTTTCAAAACAATGATTCTGCTGGAACATAGAGTAGGTAAAGGGAACAGTGTGGAATAAAGTTTTCAAGAAAACATATTATTCAGATGTGGGTGCATTAAATCACAAGATAAACCATCTGCTGAACAAATGAAAGTTCAGCTAGACCTTTCTACTAGGAAAAGAGCTCAGAAGTATTGTGATAGATGGATTCATAGGACAAAGAGACTGAACAAGCCATATGGCATCAATCACTAGAGTCCAAGTAAGAGGTAAGGATCTAATGAGATTGCAGACAGCACAGTGCCCAGCAAGGAGTAGGTGTTTAATAAATGCTTGTTCCCTTTCCCTCCTTCTATCATCCTGGCAGAAACGGAGGAAACAAGTGATTGGTCATGCAGTATCCAGGGAGGAAGAAGAAATACAAAACCACAGTGCCCTTTGAAAATCAGTTAAAATTGAGGGGAATGTAGTTTACTGCATTAAAATGTTCACTTGGTCAGGCTGGGGTGAATGGTTTTCTGGATGATCTAACACCAAGCGTTTTGTTGAACCAGAATGGCTAATTTCCATGCCAATGTCAAGTCCTTTCTAGTGTTTGATTTTAATCTATAAATGATTCCTCTATGTTTTAATATTTACCTACTATGTGTCTCCTCTTATGCCATTGTGCTTCTGCTAATATTGCTCCTATCCTTACCAATTACGACAAATGACAATCTATGTTTATTTCAAAGCCCATCTCAAAACAGTGCTCCAGTCTAAAGTATTACTGAATAATGTTTAAATTATGGGGTGTAACACCTGAAAGGCATTTAGACATTACACAGGCTGGATCCCTTATGGTACAGAGTAAGAAAGTAAATCCTCGAGAAACGAAGGCAAAAGTAAGCTTCCTGCAAGCAAGATCTTCGATTATAGCACTCATCACATTATTCATATTTTACATATGCTTTTTGGTAGACTGATTTACTAAACGCCACATAAAATCAAAACAAAACAAAACACAAGAAGTGATGTTCACTGACCTTGAGGTCACTCAGCACCTGTCACCTCCCACAGTATCAGCAGCAACACTGTACCAGTAGATGCAAGGACACAAGACAAATTCCACCCCTGCATCCTGGTTCCCCTTTCCTCTTTCCATCATCACAGAGATCCTGATTCAAGGCTTGGCTCTTGACAGTGAGCTTGGCCACAGCCCTCCAGAAACAAAAGCCTGCTAGGGCCTGCAACCTAGAAGTACCAGAGCTTCAAAGTTCTGAACTTCAGGTCTAGCCAAAGCAGTCTCTGAATTGCCATTGCCAAATATAAGAAGTGAAACAGAGAGAGAATGGGACAGGTCACCAAGACAGGACACCAGGCAAGTGGGAAACTGTGTGGCATTCTACCAAGTCTTAAGGAAAAAAACACAGGATATAGGTGGGGTCGGTTTTGACCACACAAAAATCAGTTGAGGCAGAGACCTCGTCTAGTAATTCATGGGAGAAGACTGAGATGACTTGAGATCCTGCCTCCAAGGAAATCTTCACCAGAGGGGAAGGAGGTGGAAATGAGTGACAAGGAAAATATATGGAGAATGGGAATACCTAAAAGTACCAAAGAATCCAAGAAGAAGAAATCTCAAAGATCATGAAAATAAGCAGATAAATCAACAGGAGAAGCAGTAACAGAAGAAATATGGCCCTGAGATTTAGTAAATGAATTCAGGTAACTATGAATAAATACTTCAAAATGAAGGAAAATGATCCAACATTTGGTGAGACGGGGACCTTTTCCTAAGTAGTTTAAAAGAACAATGAGAATTATGGGCACATAATTTATGTTCTACACAGAAAAAATAACGAGCAGAAGAGAGAGATTGAATCTGCTATGTCACATCTCACCAAAGAAACAAAAGAGAGAACAATAGATTGGGAATGTTAATGCACAGAAATGAAGGACAACCCAGAAGAAGAAAAGCAAAATCCAAAAAAAAAAACACATTAAAACATTCTCACTACACAAGCAAAACATAATGATCTTGAAGACAGGAGGCAGAGAGACAACCCAAATATCAGAGGTCTCCAAGAAGAACAGAACAAATAAAAGCAAAAACAAAAACAAAAACAAAATAAACAGAACTAGCCCTTGGGGAGAAGAAGAATGAATCTATGTGACTGAGAGGGAAAAAAAGGGGAAAGAAATATATAACTTGATAAAATTAGGAGACAGGACAAATAAACAAAACCCTAAAGAAAAAAGTAACAAATAAGAAGAGGGGATAAAGGAGGAGGGGAAGAGAGCCAGCTCTCAATCTATGATCCTATATTCTGCAAAAATAATGTCATCTAAACTTCAATGCTGTTTTGACTAAAAACCAACATGAAGTGGTTGCAGATGCTCTCTTTCTAGCAACATTCACATCTTTTATTATTTGGAACTAGGGTGAAAATTTAGTCTGGAAGGCTTCTTCCTCCTACTCACCTCTAACAATTAAAAACATGTAGCATTATGAGAAGAAAATTATTGTGAAATTAATACCACTAATGAAAGTCTTGAATTCATTCACTTGAACTGCAGCTTTCTGGAGGAGTGAAGGACATATTTGTACACTAGCTGTTTATGGGGTGTTTTTTTTTTAAAGTCTATCTAGTTTTTAATTCAGATGACCCACAGAGGCTGAAAATACAAGCTTTGAAGAGCATGTATTGCTTTAAATATGTAACACAGTTTGAAGCCTAGAATGTTACAATACTAAATGTTTTTTTTAATGATCCTTTTGTAGCAACGAATGCAAAGTTTACTTTTCTGTATTAACAACTGTTTGCATTTTATTTTATGTTACATCTTCTTGTTAAATAATGACATCCCTTTGATAGTAATGGTTCAATACAAGTAGGTATTACAGTTTTGACATTTGTGTGTTTAAATTCAAAGTATGCTTCTTTTGCCAGTGTTGCAAATCTTGTAGAACAGTTAAGGTAACTGTGAGGTATTTTCTTTTCTTTTTTTGAAATATATTGTAAAATAATAAAAAAGTAACAGAACTAAAAGTGAAAAAAA